CTAACTAGTTCAACCACAGTCGAACCGGGACTCGAACCAAGCGCCTTCATCGTTGAACTCAGCAAAATCCAACCTCCAACGAATCGAGGAACAGGGTAGGCACCCTCGCCCCTCAAGTAAGTACTCCCAACTCAAACTAAGATTGGGGGCACGTAAAGTCCGGCCCCGGTCAAACTACAAGGCCGCATGTTTTTTCACCACGGTCGTTAGTTTGACCACACCCAAACTGGGACTATGACTAAGGGCTAAGTGCCGCTATCGCCAAACAACGGCTCCGACTCGCTCACCCCGAGTCGAAGAAGAAAAGAAAAACTAACATGCCTACCAGAGTCGAACTCGAAGGCAAATCACCCCTTCGAGCGCATGCAAAGAAAAATCTAAGGGGGAAAAAGAGGAGAATACAAAACAGACACAAGGCAAATAACGGAAAAGAGATCTCATTTATCCACGAAATTAATTACGGGTCATCCCCGCTTACACCTGGCCAAGGCCGATCAATATAAGGAAAGAGAAACGCCAAACGGCGAGAAAGACAAGAAAAAATGCATAACATCTTTTTACTCGGCGCCATCCGCGCCACCATCTGCACCAGCGTCAGCCTCTGGCGTCGCCGCGTCAAAACCACAGTCGGTACGGGCCTCACGAGCCTTTTGACGCGCTCCCTCGAAAGCAGCTTCGGTCACGATGCCGGCCTCCCACAAATTCTTATATACATCACGTTGGGCCTCGGCAAAGACCCAAAGTTCGCGAGCCTGGCTGGAAGAAGCGGCTTGGTCCCGTAGGCGCTGATTCTCTTCTTCTAAGGCTGTGATCCGGTCCACCATGACTTGGGCGTCCTGCTCAAAGACACCGATCCGCTCCTCGAGACTCGCTTCTCTAAAGGCCACAGCAGCCCTCTCCAACGCCCGTTGGGACTCGTGCACGCGGATAGCTTCCTTCAACGCCCCAGCCCTCGACGAGGCATCCCTCACCTGAAGCTTCAATACCGCGACTTCACCCTCCAACACAGTCACTTTCCCGCTCCATGCCGCAGCGGCCTCCGCCGCCTTAGCCTGGCCTTGGCGCTCACACTCAGCTGCAGCCCTCCTCCCCGCCTCGCTCCTCATCCTTCCATCGGAGCTGCTCCTCGAGAGCACTCGCTCTGCCAAGTGTTTGCTGCATCTGAAGCTCCCGCCTCGCCAGTTCCCCGACCAAGGTCCGACTACGGGGATCATTCCTTAAGCGCGCGCGCATCTCTCGGCACCGATCTGGGTAGCGGCGGTGCTTCTCCAGCGCCCGCAAAAATATCCCCGAACGGGCGTTGGCTCGACGAATGCTCTCCACCTCCAACAAATAAGACTGCAAAACAAAGACAACGATTAAGATAAAGGACAAACTAAGGCAAAGAAGAAGCGAACCGATGTCATAGTACATACCCTCAAGCCCATCACGACCACTTCATTCATCAGTCCGATATCCGTAACGTCCCTCAACGACGCATTCTCGGCCTCCGAGCATAGCAGCTCGAACTGAGGGACCAAGCTACTCCCTTGGAGCAATAAGTTCAGCTCTATGGGAACCTCGACGAAGCGAGACCGCCCCTTTGCGCGCACCGCTGAATTGGTGAAGCCTTCCTGGAACATACGGACGTCGTCGGGGTCCAAGTCGGATTCAGACTCGTACTCATCTCCTACAGCATCCCTTCCTCCTTCCGCCACCAGCGAGGTAGAACCACCCGTCGTAGCCACTGAAGGAGCGCTTGCCTCACCAACATTAGCAGCCGCTGAGGAACTACCTCCCGTCTCAGCGACTGGAACCACCAATTGAGTCGCTGAAGCGACGGCATCATCATGGCATAAGCCAACCGAGGCAAACCCCATTGCGTGTCCACCCTCAGGGTCAGGCGCCGCAGCTACACTCCGCTCCGCATCCGCCGGGGGGAGTCCAAATTAATTACCACAGGAGGAGCCGACGTGAACATGACCCTACGCCTTATCAATGACCTCTCCTCCTCCCCATCTGATGGCGATTCCGCTCTAGGGCGCACAACCCCCGATGGCCCCTCGTCCCGAAGTGCGGCCCATGCTGGAGAAGGAACCGCTGAAGAATCAACTGATGCCGCCCTCGGTATTGGGCGCGACACCGGCGCTGCAGTAAGTCGAGCAATTGCACCCGGTCGACGGAAGGCCAACTGAGGGGCCCTGACGCGGCGTGCCCTCCCTGATCACAGAAAAACAAAGTTGATGAATAGAGTTGAAACAAAGTGGAACAGAAGAAAAAATCAATTTTTTACCTGCCACAGGCCTACGGCCATGCCTCTCCCAGAAAGACGCCCATGTGCGTATCCCCATCGTATGGGGAGCACGGCCTCAACCCACTCACGAATCCCAGCCAACGGAGCCGGCGGCAACTTTTCGGCTACAAAATTGATACGAGTTAACGTTTATGAGCACAAGACGTAAGGAGGGGCAGAAAAGGGAATTCGACGATTAAGGAACTTACGTGCATGATTCCAAGCCTCTGGGAACCCAGTAGAGCACGCCACTAAATGTTCAGTCCTGATGTAGAAGAAGTGCTCGAAAGGGCGAGGGTCAACCTCATCATCCAGTTTCACAGTCAGGCCCCTCGTCCCGCGATGGCACGCTCGAATCATGGTACCACGAACTCTCTGGGGAGCGTAGAGGCTAAGCACATGCTGCAGCGTGACCTCCCTACCGGCCAGTTCTGCATATTTGATAAGCATTGCTAATAATTTGTAAAGAGAAGGAGCAAGCTGACCCGGGCATACCCCGTAATAACGACAGAAATCAACCACTAGCATTGGGAGCGGGAGCTTAAACCCCAACTTGAAGGGATAGGCGTAAAAGACGCAGTATCCCCTGCGGTCGGTGTGGACCCTCTCCTCGCTTCTAGCGAGAACGACGTCAGCATAGCTGGGGATGACCCCCTGTCCCCATAGTTGGGCCATCCCAATCCGACCCCATTAACGGGGCTTCATCCACCTGATCCTCCCCACCATCGGCGGTGAAATCAATCATCGGACCTCCGGGCAGAGATACTATCTCGTCAACTAATGGAGCTTCATCGGTCTCCACCAGTTCTGCACCGCCCATTGCCGGAGATGGCCCTTCGGTCACCGGGGAGTTAACCGGAAGATCCGTCGGAAGGACGTTTTGGGAAGAACTGCCTGCCATTGTTGATTCAATAACGAGAAAGAAATAAAGTTTGAGGGACAAAGACGGAAGTTATATCAATCGAAGAACAAAGATGAAGGTGAATTAGCAGGAAGAAAAGCTTCTTCAGAATCTCTCTCAGACAAACAATGAGAATATAAAAAAAAATGAGTCAGCCCTTATTTATAAGCAACACAAGTGGCTTTCACAAGCCCCAATAGCCTTCATTAACTACATGACCAACCGCAAACCGATTCGGTTCTGCAGAAACGTGCGTCATTATGACAGGCTCCATGAAGCGGCTTTTCAGTCACCAACCGGCGTCTCACCTGCGAAACGGTTGCAACGACCCATGAACGCCGAGAGGATGTTCCGTGCGCCTTCAGAATGATGGACGCTGCCAAACACGTATCCAGCGTACCCCTACTCCCTTCGGCTGCACAACATATGACCCGTCCACCATGGTCGACGGTTATGCTCCCAAACAAACGTAAGGATCGGAGCGCAACAAAGCTCGACCTCACTCGAATTAAGTTAACGGGTCAGGTGCCTTCGCCAAGGGGGAAAGTTCGACCTTGACTGAACGACGACTTGACAACATAATAACAAAACACTCACACTCTACAAGGCTAAGGGCTATCGCCAAAGAGAATTCGGCCTCGACCGAAACGACAGCCGACCTCCCTATCCGAGTTTCTCAAACTATAGTCGATGAAATTCGCTCATCGACCTCGGCCAAGGCACGATCTCAATAAGCGGAGGGACTAACTGTATGGGTCAGAATCCGACCCCACGATAACTAACGAAGCTAATTCCGTCTTAAGCTAATTCATGATTAATAAGTGGTACGACCACTTAGAATTAACAGTTTTTAACCCTTGCCTGATTTGATCAATAAGGCCACGGCCCATCCGCCATCATGAAGGCGAAACCCCAACGTGGTCACGGCCACTAATTGCCAATTCACGAAGCTCATAGCTATAAATACCAAGAGAGAAAATCCTAGAAAGGGGGCTCCTTCTTGGTCACTATCCGGGAGAAAGAGAAAAAACACAATGATACCCATATTATGAGAGAGGAGAACACCATTGTAAGGCCCTGAACCTCTTCATGGAGAGGCAGGCCAAATCAACATTGTCAATAAAGGATTTTCATGTTTCTCCTCCTAACTCTGAGTACTTATTTTCGTTTCCTTCATTTGGTCCAATGGATTATTACGTTTTGCTATGATTTTCCCTTGATTTAATTATGTTGTTTTATACTCATAAAGTATGTGATAACTTTTGAGCAAACAAATAACATATAAAATAATTTTTTAAATGGAATCTACTCGTGAATAATAACATAAAAAGTAGTAACTTTTTTAGTGGAATTGACTCGTGAATAATAACAAATAAGATAATCTTTTAAGTGGAATCGACTCGTAAATAATAACAGACAAAATAATCTTTAAGTGAAATTGACTCGTGAATAACAAACAGAATAATCTTTTACCAGTAATTTATATCGAGCTTTAAATTTGAGTGGTACGCTAATTTTTTACTCTATTTCAATTATTTCTTATTCCAAATTTCAATTAAGTATATTTTCTAAATGCTTACTCACTACTAGTATTTACCAATTGAAATTATTTATGGTTATAAACAACCTAAACCATTAATGGCTGTCTTAATTTCCATTTTCCACACGCAGTTTCCTTTCCCCGCAAAAAAACACACACACACACACACTGATTAACACACGTACCTGTACACACATAGCAGCCACATACACAATCACTATATGTCCCTACACTCACTGTATTATATATTACACACACATGTTCTCTTTTCTCTCTCTTTTCCTCATCATTTTCCTCTTTTTCATTGCCGGCGCACACAATCAGAAAAAAAAAAAGCCCTAACTCTAACCTCCCCTTTTCTCTCTCTAAAATAAATAAAAAATTCTATCTGGGTTTTGCTCAAAATCCAATCTTTTAAGGTATTTTCTTGGATCTATTGTCTTTTTTTTTCCCTCAAGCTGAGTTTTATCTGATTTTAAGGTTTTTGCAGCTTTAATTGTGCAAGATTTAATTTTTATTGTATGTTCATGATTGCTTATATGTGTTCTTAATTGAGCCCTGTAACCAATTTTTTGGTAAAAGAAAAGGGTGGGAATTACACTAAATTCAATCCTGAAAGGTATTTTCTTTGATATGATGTAATCTATTTCAGCTGGGTTTATTATTTTATAGTTTGCAATTTGATTTTTCTTGTATGCTTATGGTTGTTTTACTTAATACAATGCTTTGTTAATTGAGCACTGTAATAACCAGGCTGACTTTACTAAAAAAAGGTTGGAATTGTGGCCCTAAATTCCCTTCTTTTTTTCTCTCTCTATTAAAATTTGTTGTGGATTTTGCACAAAATAATATCTTGTAAGGTATTTTGGTGGGTGGATCTATCAATTCTGTTTGTAGATGGGCTCTGTCTTGTTTTAAGGTTTTTCAAAAATTTTATACAAGAATTCATTTTTATTGTATGTTCATGACTGCTTTACATAATAGTAGAATGTTTTGTTAGTTGAGCCATGTATTCACCATCTTCTGTAAAGGAAAAAGGTGGGAATTTAGCCTTAGGTCCCCTTCTCTGTCTATCTCTCTAAAAATCCAATCTTGGAATGTATTTTTTTGGATCTTTTAAGGTGGGTTCTTTCTGGTGTTTAAGGTTTGGTTTTTTCTCTATGCTCATTGATTGCTTGACTTAGTACTATGCTTTGTTAATTGAGCCCTGTAATCACCTTTTTTTTTTAAAAGAAAAAATGCGGAAATTATAGCTGAATCTGTAATAATTGAAAGAATTCTTGATGATGCAGTTTAAAGCCAGTTTCTGTTAGTTGCTGGTTTTTTAGTTGAATGTAGATATCTTCAGACTTTCACAAGTTGGGCCTTGAAAAATTTACTGATTACAATTATTTCCTAGTACCATTTTCTTCTTGTGAAATAAGGAGGCGGGAGTTGTGGTTGAATATGGAATTATCGAATTGAGTTCATGATGTATAGTCAAAAGCTAGTATCTTTGTTATTACTAGATTTGTTATTTTTAGCTGGATTGGACATCTTTTTAAAGCTGGGTGTTGCAAAATTGATGTTTATGTTGCAAATATTTCTTTCTGATATTTGTTGTATAATTGTATCTTCATTAGGTCTAGTTTGGTTGATATCTAATCTGTATATGAGTTGAGTTGTCTGATTCATTTGCTCCCTTTTTTTGCCTCGTTGTAAGCTCTTATCAAGTCTCTTTCTGTTGTCTTGTTTAATCAATTAGGAAGGGTGCGCAGAAGGGAATTGAACATCAAATATTCTAGTCAGTTCTATGATCTCAAAGAAAATTGGATTCACATAATGGATTAACTGAAAGGTACATCTAGCTGCATCTCGTTTTAGCTGTATCTTCGAAGAAGATTGGCCTTCTTTGAGATTCTACCTGCGGATGTTGATGTTTCATGCTTATTCTTCGCTTCTTAGTCAATATCCTTGTACTTCTGTTATCTCTGATGAAAGAGTATCAATCTTTATATGTGAGTCTTAAACCCATGTATTCTTGGTCCTTGATTTCCGTGTTGGCTAGCTGTGGATGAGTAAGGTATATTTTTAGTTTCCGCCAGCTGCAGGTCTTCTTGCCCACTGAAAACTGAAAAGAAAGGCTTACAAATAACCTGGTACCCTGACAAACAAAAAAATATAGTAGTATTCCAAAAATTAAGTATGATTAAAGGGGTCATTTTTATGTTTAGCTTTAATTATGATAAAGATGTAGGTGGTTTCGATGAAAATTATTGAATGGTTAAGAAAACTAACAAAACAAGAATATCTGCAGCACCTCCAAGAATGAAAATGAACTACAGTACATTTTAGGACGAGCTTAAAAGAAAAGTGAAATAATTCTAGGAAGATCAGCTTATAAAAACTCATTTATTTTTTTATAAAAAACCAAAAAGAATTCCATTAGAACTAAAGAAATTAGTCAACCTTAATATAAGAAACACCTTCTAGCGAAAGGAATCATTGATTATTAAAGCTACCCCTCTCTCTCTCTCTCTCTCTCTCTCTCTCTCTCTCTCTNAATTAATTTTCTGCTTCTACGTCTTGGAAGAAACTAGAATTTGTAACTTCTTCTCAAAAGCAAAAAAACAAAAAAAAAATGTTTTTGATGCCATCTTGGCCAAACGCCTCAAAGTGTTTTTTTAAAAACGTTATTGCACAAAATTAAAAACCGCAAGTTGTTGTAAAAATCTCTCTCTCTCTCTCTCTCTCTCTCTCTCTCTCTCTCTCTCTCTCTCTCTCTCTGCGTTGGTGTGTTCTTTTTTTCCTTTGACATCTGACGTTGAACTAAATTGTTGGACGTATAGGTATAGTGTGGTGAAAAAAAATTATAGGTTGGTGAAAGAAAAACTTTTTCCTGTCTTTTGTAAAGTTCAGCTGCTTATTCGCAAAGAAGAAAAATGTTTAGCTTCTAGTGTTTAGCTAAAATAAGCATTTCTTTGGAGCTGTTCAGAGCTTTCTCCTACATATATAAGGACAATATAGACCATTTTACAGAAGTTTTAGCTACAAAAATAGAAGAGAGGAAATTTTAAAATTATGAAAATTAGAGAAGAGTATCCTGCAAGCTTATAGAGGAAAAAGTTACCTTAAGTGCGGTTAAAATTGTGTACTATTCGAACTGTGCCCCATTAAATCTCGTGGTTTCTCGGTTATAAGAAAAATATCGTGTACTATTTTCAAATAGCTTATTCTTCTGCCCAATACAATTATTTGCGTTTTTTGGGTCTGTTCTGTTCTTGACGTGATCATATCTTCTGTTTGGAAGGAGAGAGATGTAATGTTTGCTTATTATTCTGACTCGATCTGGTGCAGGATGTTGGTCTGTCATGATTGTGCAGTGGTGATTTTGATGTTGCACAAAGTTTTACTTCCTTGCTGCTGATTACAAGAACTTGGAGTAAAATTTGATTGCTAATGGATCGAAAGGATACTTCAGGATTCGTAAGCGGGGGTGCGATGTGCTCTTGTAGACACATCTAACCCTAGTTAAGACTAACTTTCTTAAGCCCGGAAGTCAGGCGACTGTTCTTTTTCAATTGAGATTTTGTTCAAATAGGAGTTTTTGTACCAGCTTTTAGCTTATGGATCCCAGATTCCGCTATGTGGGGTTTACCGTGAACCCTCAGTTAAATGCATTCAAGAATCTGGACAAATCCGTCACAGTTGGTGGAGTTGGAGTTGGAGGTGGTCATTGTGCTGATACCACCTTACGGCTTGATTCGATTGGCTCTTCAATTCCTTCTACCCCTGCCACAAAAGGAATCAAGCGGAAATGGAGCTCAATTGGTGGATCTGCTGATCAGCAAATTGGTTCATCTTTGTGCCTACGCTTAGGCCACTCGTCAAGCTCCTCTGATAGTAAGGGGAGCTCAGGCGCTGCGTGCACTTCAATGTCTTCAGCAAGAGAAAATGATGAAGGGTCTTCGATGGACCTGGACTTGGACTTTAGTCTCCATCTTGGTAATGAGAAGATCCCAAGCTCAAAAAAGTCTGCTCACCCCAATTCAAGTAAACTTGACAAAGGGCTTGCAGTTGATCTGGAACTAAGTCTTTCTAGTTGTGCTGCTGAGTCTGATGTTACTACTGTTCATTTGCTCTCCACCTCACCACAAAGTATCATGAAGGTGCCACAGGCTATAGCTGGAGCTTTTCATACTGATGAAGTATCAACAGCTACACATTGGAAGGCCAGCAACATTTTCCATCCATTACAAACTCCAACAGAAGCTGGTTCTAGTTACTTCTTGAACCAGGCTGCAACACAAATCAAGCAAGCTCCAGTCTCTCCTGATCTCTCGTCAAGTTTAATCGCAAATTCAAAAAGCTCAGTCACCTGTACTTCCGGGTTAACACAACAGCAGCAGCAGCAACAACAACGTAACAGTAGTACCAAACAGTGTCAGTTCAAGGGATGCGTAAAAGGAGCAAGAGGTGCTTCTGGCCTTTGCATTGCTCATGGTGGGGGCCGTAGGTGTCAGAAACTAGGCTGCCACAAGGGAGCTGAGGGCCGGACTGCATTTTGCAAAGCCCACGGGGGTGGTCGTCGGTGTGAGTTCCTAGGTTGCACCAAGAGTGCAGAAGGACGCACTGACTTTTGCATTGCTCATGGGGGTGGACGCCGTTGCAGTCAAGATGGGTGCACTCGTGCTGCCAGAGGGAAGTCTGGATTATGCATTCGACATGGTGGTGGCAAGAGATGCCAGAACGAGGGCTGCACCAAAAGCGCAGAAGGTCTCTCTGGCCTCTGCATTTCACATGGAGGTGGGCGGCGCTGTCAGTACCCCCAGTGCACTAAAGGAGCGCAAGGAAGCACCATGTTCTGCAAGGCACATGGTGGTGGTAAACGTTGCACCTTTGAAGGGTGCAACAAGGGCGCAGAGGGGAGCACGCCTTTTTGTAAGGGTCATGGTGGTGGAAAAAGATGTTCATTCCAAGGAGGTGGGGTCTGCCCGAAGAGTGTTCATGGGGGGACACTCTTCTGTGTGGCGCATGGTGGTGGCAAGAGATGTGCCGTGCCAGAGTGTACCAAGAGTGCAAGAGGAAGAACTGATTTTTGTGTACGCCATGGTGGTGGAAGAAGATGCAAAGTTGAAGACTGTGGAAAAAGTGCTCAGGGAAGCACTGATTTCTGCAAGGCCCACGGCGGAGGGAAGCGATGCTCTTGGGGTCAGCCCGATTCTGAATTTGGCCAAGGTGATGGTCCTTGCAACTCATTTGCTAGAGGGAAGACTGGACTTTGTGCATCTCATGGTGCTCTCGTACAAGACAAACGTGTTCATGGTGGTGCCACTTTAGGGGCTATGGTCCTGGATTCAGCGCCAAACCAGTCCGAGAAGATGAAGGGAATTGTCAACCTAGAAGACATCTGTTTTGATGCCATGAAAATGCAGAGTAATGGTATGACATCCGCCAATGGTTCTGATGTGGAATATTTTGGATTTAAGCAAAATACTAATATGCAAGTTGGAGGCAGCTCATCATCAGTTTCTGAAGGAAGGGTGCATGGAGGAAGTTTGATGGCATTGCTGGCAAGTGGCTCTGGCCGTACCTCAAACAGCAGCAAGGGAGCAGTTACTGCGTCTGAGCCTGGGAATTCTTTCCTAGTTTCCAAGAACTGGATGTAAGATGTATAGCCACTCTGTATTCTCAAGTTGATTGTAAGACCACAGCGTTTCCACCGCTATGTTATGTCATTTTCGTTTTAGCTTCTTCACTGGTACAGTGACTGTGAAGCTTTTCTTTCTTGTGTTTAGTGGGTTTGAACTAGAACTTCTTACTATTAAATGTATGTGTGTCAATAAGGGGAACCCACTTGGGTCAAATTAGCCTTGTGAGGTTGGGTCATTGGTATTTGTTCTATGTACATAGCCTTTTTCATGTAACATTTGGTCTTTGTGAATATTCAGTGGAGTATGAGAACTTGTAATAGTAAACCTTCTAGCAGCTTTTCATCCTGAGGTTCTATATTTTCCATTTGATTATTGAATATTATGAAGGTTCCAACAGCCGTCATCGCGTTATAGTGATTCATACAGTTGAATGCAAGTTTTCATTCATTTCATAATTTGGTATGAGGAGATATGAATGCATGTCTGTAGCTCTTTGTAATCGTTCCACTGAGCAGTGAACCTCAGTCAAAAGAGATATTTTAAGGCTTTGTTGCATGCTGGATACATCTTTTGCCCGAAGACCTTACTAGCTCTGCAGCTTGGCTCGTTGCTTCCTCAAATCTCTCTGAAATGTTATCCTCAGATTATATGGTGCCTAAAGAAATCAATGCAATGGGATGAAATTGTCAGGCATATATTCCAAGAGTTTAACTTACATGCACTAACATTGTACAACCTTTTATACCATCAAGTTAAGATTACCTAATGCAACAGGTGACTAATATAGTAATTCTGATTTTGTGACAAATTAGCGAGACATCCTCACTAATCAGGGTGGTGTGTTGACAGGTAATCGAGAGTCTCTTCTAGTCGTACTAGTAGTATTAGTATTAGTCTTGTATTCTCCTATTCCGAGTTCCTTATTGTTAGACGATGTGGCATAATTGCTGGTAGTTTTCGCACTTCTCTTATAGCTGCGTATTCTAGATCTTTGCTATTACATGATGTGCTATTTGTTTCCATTATCTTATTTCCTTGCCATTGTTATTGTTTGTTTATTGTGTCCTTTTCATTGTTCTTGAGCCGAGAGTCTATCGGTAACAACCTCTCTTCCTTCATAAGGTAGGGGTAAGGTCTGCGTACACATTACCCTCCCCAGATCCCACGTGTGGGATTTCACTGGGTTTGCCGTTGTGAGACATCCAGAAGTGGAAGTCCACCAAATGTTACAGTGTGAATATATGATGAAACAATATAGTTTTGTTTACTAACTGTTAAGAAAATCTGAGTACACTTAATATTCCAGATGCTTCTGTTTTTCATTATAAAAAAGAAGTAGCAATGCAGAAAACATGACTCAGAAATGTACCAACTTACTTCCAAACAACAACTGAATCACAAACATTGTGTGTCACTTCCTCCTATAACTCTGTGAAATCATACAATTCCAGTTTGATTAATAGCTTAAACTTCACCACCCTATCACATGGAGAAGAAGATCCGACGTCCTTACTTGTTTCTTTTTTCAGTAGCCTTTGCTTTCCTTGTTACAGATCCGTTCGGTTTAAGTCCAGTCGGAGAAAATGACTTTAGGCCAGTGAAGAATGACATTGCACCATATGAACAAGTCATGGAAAATTGGCATGGAGACAAGAAGAGCCGGTTAAGCCTCGGGAATTTGGAGTTTGTTAATGAAATTTATGGTCCTGAATCACTAGAATTTGATATTTCAGGCCGTGGACCATATGCTGGACTAGCTGATGGCCGCATTGTAAGGTGGCTCGGGGAAGATACTGGCTGGGAAACATTTGCACTTGTCACTCATAACTGGTAAGCATATATTATAATCTTCAAACCATATTTTTGTTTATCCATTGATGTATGTGTACTTTATAAGGTCGGAGAAGCTGTGTGCAAAAGGGAAAGATTCAACGACGTCTAAGCAATGGAAAGTGGAACCACAATGTGGGAGGCCGCTTGGCCTGAGGTTCAACAAGCAGAGCGGCAATTTGTACATAGCAGATGCTTACTATGGACTCCTGGTTGTTGGTCCTGAAGGAGGCGTGGCGACGTCTTTGGCTACACATGTTGAAGGGAAGCCCATACTCTTCGCTAACGACCTAGATATCCATACAAATGGCTCCATCTTCTTCACTGACACTAGCAAGAAATACAACAGAGTGTAAGTTTATGTTAAAAAATTTATAATCTTTCGACTTTTCGAAATAGTAGTACTAATTCTTTGTTATGTGAATGCAGGAACCATTTTCTCATAATGTTAGAAGGAGAAGACAGTGGTAGGATTCTTAGGTATGATATTGCTACAAGAAGTACTCATGTTGTTTTGGATGGTTTGGCTTTCCCTAATGGTGTACAATTATCAAAGGATCAATCTTTTCTTCTCTTCACTGAAACAACCAATTGCCGGTATGTATCCCTCTTCTCTACCCCCCCTAAAGGAAAAATAAAGAAGGGCCGCACCACAAGGGGTGTGACATAGACAGCCTACTGTAATAGCCCGGCCCATAAGTGACATTACCACTTTTGGGCCTAGGCCCGCATGGCTTTTAAAACGCGTCATTAGAATCTAAGACTTGTTTACTTATACACACAGCATTTCTTGATACCATATGTAACAGCCCAGCCCACTAGTGAAATTGTTCCTTTTGGGCCTAGGCCGGCACGGCTTTTAAAACGCGTCACTAGAGACCAAGGCCTGTTTACTTATATACCCGGCATCTCTCTCGTGTTTTGTCGATGTGGGATTCGCCTAAAGTGTCACACCTACCCTAATACAAGCATTAGTAGCTGCTTCTACAGCTCGAACTTGTGACCAATAGGTCACATGAAGACAACTTTATCATTGCTCCAAAGCTCCCCTTGTTTAGTTCAGAATAGCTCGCCTAAATGTTATCTGGTGTTGTTGTTGTCAGGCTAATGAAATTGTGGCTAGAGGGTGGAAAAGCAGGCAATGTTGAGGTTATCGCGAACTTGCCAGGATTTCCGGACAATGTAAGGGCGAACGAGAAAGGTGAGTTTTGGGTAGCAATTGATTGTTGTCGAACAAGATCACAAGAAATTCTAATTCATAATCCATGGATGAGAAGCATATATTTTAGATTGCCAGTTCAAATGCGTTACTTAGCAAGATTGATGGGAATGAGAATGTACACTGTTATCTCACTCTTCAATGAAAATGGAGAAATTATTGATGTTCTTGAAGATAAGAAAGGTGTAGTTATGAAGTTGGTAAGTGAAGTTAGAGAAATCAATGGGAAGCTATGGATTGGAACTGTTGCTCATAACCATATTGCTACCCTTCATTACCCTTAATTACAGATTAAATTGGTGTATTTGTAATAATTAGCAAATTCACTTGTTCTTTACTCTATTTAATATAAATTCCCTTTACATACTTTGAGTTATTTTTGTGGAAATAAATGAGATATGCATGTTGCTATCTTATTGTTTGAACAATCCTTTGCTCTTGACTAGAGGCGGACCTATATATAAAATTTAGGGCTCATCGTAACGAGAGAAAAGCCTTGACCTTCCCTTCTTCAATCCGAGAGGCTGAGTCCCATCATAGGTCGTATTAACCCTAAAATAATCTAGTTTATTAAGAAGCATATAAACGTCATACTAATAAGAAGCGCGTAGACGAAGGGAGAGGGGCTTTTTTGAAAGGCTAGAAACTTTTACGGACCTCGTAAATTTCGGCAGAAATCTTGTATATGTAATTGTATATCTTGAAGATGATTATATAAATAACTTGATATCATGAATACTAAAAATCTTTAGGGACACTGATTGAGCAGAATAGTGATGTCACCATCGCGTTAAAATTTTAAATCCGCGTCTGCTCTTAATAAAATACCAAGAATATGTGGCATCCAAGATCCTCATCCAACCAGCCGTTGAAGTGTTGCCCTTGGCCTTAACTTGCCTTGTACAAATCTATAATGTACATAACTATTGGTACTAATCTCACTCGAGGCATAGTATAATTGATCATATTTATAAATGGGGTTGAAGAATTTCATGTTTATAAAAAGTAACTATGGTATCAAACTTTGTAGATACATAAAGGAAAAGACTTCATTATCAGAGTTTTCCGCGCTTTTATGGTTGCAAAGTATTATTCTGCAACCATACATTATAATTGCATTGAAGCAATAAACTTGATCATAATGTTTTTACCTTTTAGCCCAATCTTTACGTATCTTGTTTAATCGATTTTGTATTAGCCATATATTAATTGACTTATTAACTATAATCTTTACGTATTTAGTAATAATACCAAAAATGCTACAAATTGTACAAACAATTTTTTTCAAAATTTTAGCTTCAATAATCTGGTCTAGGATTGTTTTCTTGACTTTTGGCTAGCAAAACAGCCGAACAATTACGACAAAATGGAGTACGTTTCTTTTTATTCGATATTGTAACACTGACCTACCCCCCCCCCCCCCACTAAAAAAAAAAAAAAAAAACCCCTTCAACAACACTTTGTTAACGTTAAAAAATCAATTGGTGAAAAAATAACTTGTCATTGTTTTTAGTAATGTTTGATTTGAAACTATACCATTTAAATATGCAACTCTTTCATATTATATTTATTTGTACGTGTATCCCTCCACCAATAGATCCACGTGAATAATACTTCCTCTTGTCTCAAATATTACTCATTTACTTATTTTAACATATTACTCATTTACTCAAGGGAAGTTTTATAGAGCTGTGGTTAGACCTGCCATGTTGTATGGGGCTGAGTGCTAGTCGGTGAAGAACTCCCATGTCCAGAGAATGAAGGTTGCGGAGATGAGGATGCTCAGGTGGATGTGCGAGCTCACCAGGTTAGATAGGATTAGGAATGAAGTTATTCGGGAGAAGGTGGGGGTGGCCCCAGTAGATGAGAAGATGCGGGAAGCGAGGCTCAGGTGGTACGGGCATGTGCGGAGGAGAAGCCCCGATGCCCCGGTGAGGAGTTGTGAGCGGCTGGCGGTGGTTGGCGCGAGTCGAGGCAGAGGGAGGCCCAAGAGGTATTGGGAAGAGGTGATTAGGCAGGACATGGCTAGAATGCGGATTTCCGAGGACATGGCCCTTGATAGGAAAGTCTGGAGGTCTAGTATCAGGGTTGCAGGATGGGAGCTTCTAGAATTTTTCGTACTTCTGTCCCAGGGCTGGGGGGGGGGGGGGTTTTCTAGGGCTCTCCATAGATGATCTGTGTATTGTATTGTGCCCCCTTATGGTAGTTACTGGTCGATATATTTGCATGCCATTTTATTTATGGTTTATGTTTAGATAATTATTTATGTGATCTCTGCTGGAGTTACTAATGCTCTTTTGCTTTTTTGTTTTTTGTTTTTTGTTTTCCTTTTTCCTTTTCCGTTGTAGTCCGTAGGGTCGTAGTTTGGAACCTAGTCCGTTCGTTTGCCCGTTTTCGGTCGGGGTTAGGTCCGTGTGTTACGTACGTTTACCCTCCCCCGAGTACCCCTACCCGTTACTTCGGGGACCTTACGTACCGTGGGGTACTTTGGGTTCGTTTGGTTTGGTTTCGTTTATTTTTAACGTATTTCGTACGTTTTACGAAAACGTTGGTTTACTTAGGTTAATTAAAGTTTAAATTAAACTTTTTCGTTAAAATTCGTATTTTTAAAAAACGGTTCTAAAAGTAACTTAAGGTTAGAAAACG